TCGTCCATCATATGATGGACATCATCAGAGTTGGGTGTCATTCTTGTAAAAGTCTCACGTTAACACTAGGACAAAAACACTATCAGACTCTAGCTTATTTCTTATATTCACTCAATTGAGCCAAAATAAAATTAAAAATCTAGTTAGATTGATATAGAGTGGTTTGATTATTTATCTTTCATACTGAAGTGTTTGCTTGAGTGTATACGCATGTGTATTTGTCTGTGTTAGCGTCTATATGCAATACGGTTCCTAAATCAGAGTTGTCAAAGTTTTAATCTCAGGTTCTGATCCAGTTACTCTTCATATATAGTGTTTTTGAATAAAGTTCGCGAATAATGTTTTCTCGCTTTGACGATGTACATCACATGAGGGACGCAAGCTCAGCACGGAGCCATCGGTCTTCTTTGCACAATCTAGCAGACAAAAGTCCAATGCCACCCTCTTTAGGTATCCGATGAGGCCAATCTACGAATCCAATCCATCCGCTTTCTCAAATGAAATGAAATAAATGCCAGTGTCAATATACTAAGGGATTCTTCGAAACCCAGCTTCTCTTCATATTCTTGACTAAGTGTTAACGTGAGACTTTTATGAGAATGAGTTCCAGCTATGGTGATGCTCATCATATGATTGATGAAAGCTCCGTCCGTTTTCACCTGTAGCGAAGGAGGTTCTGCGGACTGCGTCAACCTAAACGTCGTACTAAAGTCAAACGGCTGCAGTACAACGGGAATCAGCCGTCCTCTTCTGGTGAAAACGACCTTCGAATATCTTATTTATGCACTTCCATATTAAATAAAAGTCTACCGACATTAAAAAAGCAAAAAAAACAAGTGGGGATGAGTAAACTGCTCAGCTATCCAGCACATCGGGATATTCTTGATGCTGTACTCGACCAACGCCACAATCCTGCCAAGCAATACATATATGTTACCTCTGGATACATTTCCCCTTCATATATCGCGATAACTCTAAGACAATTACAAAGAAAAGAATGTTATTAACAAAACACTTGAATTTATTATTTCGCAGTCAAATGGACTAGTAACGGCAGCATTAAGAAAGTTTGCTTGATCTGCCAGGTAATCATCTCTTCAAAACCGGAGATTGCCGCCAGCCTACAACCCGGTACATTTTGAAAGACGAATTATTGAAGCTGAGCGCTCCTCCGCTGCCAAGTCAGCTCTCAGACGTCCTAATCATAGGTCGCGTTCCACATCTCATAATATAGATAAAAAAAGGAGCTAATGACCTCTGAGATCTCCCTCGTTCTTCCGTACACAAATCGCACTATCTAGTTTTTTGCCTTTCGACTAAAATTTGCAAGTCCGTTATGTACGACATAAC